AACCGCCTGTATTCATGATCTCATTCAGTCTCACAGTCACTACCCAGAGTTCATGACCAAAGGTGAGGGGAGGAACGTAGACTGACTGGTAAACAGAGAGCTTTGCCTTACAGCTCAGCTCCCTCTTCACCACCACAGACCGGCACAGAGTTCACAATACTGCAAACGCTGCACCAATCCGTCTGTCAATCTCATGCTCCATTCTTTCCTCACTCGTGAATAAAACCTCTGAGATACTTGAACTCCTTCACTGAGGCAGAACCTCACCCTCGACCTGAAGAGAGCAATCCACCCTTTTCTGACTGAGGACCATGGCCTCAGATTTGGAGGTGCTGATTCTCATTCCAGCTGCTTCACACTCTGCTGCGAGACCGACTGATTTTTGTTTCTTTCCAGTATGGAAACACCGATCTTCATGTGTAAAGGTTTTAGATAACTTTTAGTTTTCAGTTTCCACTTTACTGGTGAAAGCAGAAATTTGAAAAACATGTCCAACTCAGTTACACAAGGCAGTCCAACAAAGTCCTTACAAAGATTCATCCACAGATTATTCAGCAGTTGTTGAAAAAGTATAGAAATGAATCTTGATTGTTAGTTTGGCGCGTGGTGTTTCATGTTGGAGATGCATCAAGGTAAACTTTAAATGATGTTTCTCCTGCAGAGGTCCACAGAGGCCAGCCTTTTACTCCTTTAGATAATATCCCACCTTCATCTGCAGGGAAGTTTCTCACAGATTTCTGCAGATTTTTTGTCTTAATCATAAAAGCTCTAAAAATTCACAACGCTCTATTCTTGATTAAGACGCACAACTTACAGTATTTTTAGACTCTGCAGGAGTAGCATCAGATTAAAACAGAAGACAAATAAAAATGCTTCATGAATTGACAGCCTTAATAAATCAATGTATTAGGAAAAACAAAGAAGTATATTTGATGTAAGATTTTGCTTTGTCCACAGAATGATTTAAGATATTGTGTAATTATGTCATGTTAAAGCATTTTTAATGATTAATAATATAAAGCAGAGCTGTAACTTTTTATTAATAAGCTGTTGGAATTTAGATGCAAAGATAAAAATTAGAACCACATTGTTTTGCAGGACATTGTGTTGAAGTAAAAAGGACAAATGGGAAATTAAATTAGCTTCAAGTGATGCAAGGTTTGTCGTATTCTCTGCGCTAAATAAAAGTTTTCCTGTTTGTTTGTTTGTTTTGCGCGCAGCATTCAGAGGCTGTGGTTGGCCAGAGGTCAACTTGTTACTTTCAGATTCATGTTGTTCTCCTTCGCAGCATTCTGACAACAAACCTAGACAAAGTAGATAAACTACAATAAATTCAATTCAGTTTGTTTGCATAGCACCAAGTCACAACTGAATCATCTCTGAACAGGAACATTCACATACACAGAGAAGCCACTTAGTAAAGTTCTCTGTCCAAGGAATCCAGCAGACATGTTGAATCTTGGCTTCGTCACAGTCTCCCATCCTGAGCAAGCACAGTGGCAACAGTGGAAAGAAAAAACTCCCTTTTAACAGGAAGAAACCTCCAGCAGAACCAGGCTCAGGACAAGAGACCATCTGCTTTGACTGGTTGGGTTTGAGAGGAACAGGAAGGAGAAACAAACACAGAATGGCAGGTCCAGATGTTGGTCCAGGTGTGCCCCCTGTTGGAATAAAGACAAGGAACACATGTTAAGATAGAAATAATTACAAATACAAACAGGTTGAGCAAGTAAAGACAGCAGCAAAGTGAAGAAATGTGGTCAATTTGTTCTCCAGGAATCCAAGCCTCTATCATCTTAACTAAGGGACAGCTCAGGAAACCCAAGTCAACCCTAACTATAGGATTTATCAAAAAGGAAAGTCTTAAGTCTAGTTTTAAAACTGGACAATGTGTCAGCCTCACGGACAGAAACTGGGAGTTGGTTCCACAAGAGAGGAGCCTGATAACTGAAAGATCTTCCTCTCATTCTACTTTTGGAAACTCTAGGAACCACAAGTAAACCTGCAGTCTGAGATGAAGTGCTCTGTTGGGAAAATATGGAACAATAAGATCTGTAATATAAGATGGAGCTAGGTTGTTGAGAGCTTTGTAGGTTAGAAGTAAGATTTTGAATTCTATTCTGGATTTGACAGGGAGCCAGTGGAGAGAAACTAAAACTGCAGAGATATGATCTCTCCCACTAACTCATTACAAAAATCTGTTATTTTTAGAGATGTTCAGATCGATCAGCCACCAATCATGATCGGCTGGTTTTCATTAACAGGTATGTGATGTATGTATGCCTTTCAGTGCTGTTCACAAAAACCGGTCACCTTTGCAGCCTGCAGAGGTCCGGTGGTTTATATATTCAAGCAATGTTTTGAGATTTATTTGACTTTCTGCAATACTGAGCTGTTGACAGCATTAATGTTTCAATCTGTTAAAGATCCTGCTGCTGATTGCAGGTCAACTGAAATATTTTTCAGTTGTCCTGTTGACTGAATAGTTGCTGTATTGTGCCTGCAAGTTTTTTTAAATATATTTTTTGTCCTTAAAAAGTACATAAAAACATGTTTTTGTCCAAATTAAGGTGAATTTATGGTTCCTATTTTCCAGATCATGTAGCAAGTAGCACTCATCTTAACTAAATCAAAAAATTTACAGCCAATCCGTGTGATCAGTATCGGTGATCAGCACCATGTGTGATCGGTATCGGTGATCAGCACC